GGCGCGGTCCGGGCGCTTTTGGAGGCGCCGCCCTCCCTTGGGCGGCTTCGCCCGGCGGCGGGGGTGGGGAGGACCGCGCACCCACAGGCGCTCGGACAGACCGCCCAGGCGGGCCGCTCCTCCGGGGCTGGGGGCGAGGCGGCCCGAGGGGCGGTGCGGAGGCGCCCGCGGAGGCCTGCGCCCTGCTCCGCCCCCCGCCCCCGCCCCCGGCCGCCAGGCGCAGCCAGCCGAGCGGCGGGAGCGGAGCGCGGCGGTGACGGCGGCGCGCGTGGGGAGGGAGGCAGGGTGGGAGGGGCCGCAGGGCCCGGCCGAGCCGAGCCGATCGCCCCGGCCACGGCGGCCGCCTCCAGGATGCTCCGGCCCTCGGGCCGCTCCGCCGCCAGCCAGCCCGGGGGCGCGGGAGCCACAGTCGCAGCCGGAGGCGGGAGCAGAGAGCAGTAGCCCTGGGCGCCCGAACGTACGGTGAGCGCAGCCGCCCAGCTCGGGGGCGGGCGGGAGGGAGGGAGGACCCCGGGCAGGGACCCCCTGCGCGAGGACTCCGGCCGGGGAGGGGCTGTCCGCGGTGTGTCGGTCGCGTCGTCTGTCCGGGGGGCCTCGGGCACTGCTTAGGGCTGTGTTCCCCCCCAACTTGGGGACCTTAGGAGGTAACTTCCCCGGGGCTGGCCCCTTCCTCCGTCCCACAGCCTCGGGGCTTAGCAGCGCCGCCCCCGGGGCTGGATTGCACGGGCGGGATGGCGGTTCTGGGAGCCCTCCTGCCTAGCGTAACCGGGGTGGGGTGAGGTGTGTCCGAGGACCACAGTCCCGCCTGCGTCCGGTTTCCCGGCTGGCGCTGGGACGCGCCCTCGGGGCTGGGCAGGGCTGGGGGCCCCCCCGCTGGGGCTGGGCCAGCAGGCGGGGTCGCGCTGGGTCGGTCGTGGGGATCTGAGCACGGAGGAGCGGGGACCGCGGGGATGGGGGTTGCCGGACGCGCAAAGGTTCTGCGCTTCGAGCCCCGCCCTGGGCAGCGGCCAGGCCGGGCCCTGCGGATGCTCGTCGGCGCAGGCTGAGCAGCCCGGGGGCGGCCGATGGAGCCCGGGGAATCCTTTCAAGTTCTCGGTCCTCTTTGTTGCGCAATCGAACCCTGGGGCCATGCAGCCTCATTGGCCGGAGGCCGTGACGTCACGCGGGCCCCGCCCGCAGACCCTGCAGAGGGAGGCTTCTGGGCTGTGGGTCCCAGGCCTCTCCCACCTGCAGCCTGCCCTTTGACATGGGGCTGGGGAGCCCCTCTGAAATGCTGAGATGGAGGAGAAACTTCCCAGTTGGGGGTAGTGACGCCCTGGGTGCGGACCCCACTGGAGGGAGCCCAGCCAAGGGGTCTGGCCCCAAATGTCCGCTGTTCGTGAAGAAAGATCCACAGGTGTGTGATCTGCGGGTCACCATCCTGGAGGAAGGGCGACTCCCTGGTCCCACAGAGCCCACCCCTTCTCACTCCGCATGTGGAGATTTGGGTGTACACTCCCCATTCCCCTCCCAGGACCACCGCCCCCGGAGTGCTGAGCCCCAAACCAGCCCTCACACTTCCCTCCCTGTTTTGCCTGGGGCTGCAAGCTTCAGTGTTCCCTCGCAGTGTGGGGACAGTGTGGGGACAGGAGGGCCCACGCTGCAGGGATAGGAGACTCAGAAAGACCATCTGAACGAGGAACAACAAAAAAATGCCTTGTTCCTGAGCATTTTGGGGTTTGAGAGGCGGGGATGTATTGTATTGTATTGTATTGTATTGTATTGTATTTATTTATTTTTGAAAGAGAGATGGATTTGTTGTTCCACGAATGGATGCTTTCATTGGTTCCTTCTTGTCTGTGTCCTGGCTGGAGGTGGAAACTGCATTCTCGGCATATTGGGAGGATGCTCGTCTGTCCAGGGCCCGAGAGGCCAGGCTTTCTTATGTCAGACGAACTGAGTTTGGATCCTCACCTGGGCACATAATAGCTTGGGCAAACAATTGTACCTTTCTCTGCCTCTGCTTGACCGTCTTTAAAGTGGGGGTGATGGCCTGGCTGGTTTGGCTCAGCGGTTGGAACGTTGGCCTTCAGACCAAAGGGTCGCAGGTTTGATTCCCAGTCAAGGGCACGTACCTGGGTAGCAGGTTAGCTCTCCGGCCCTGGCTAGGGTCATGCGGGAGGCAACCAATCGATGTGTCTCTCTCACATTGAAGTTTGTCTCTCCCTCTTCCTCCCTCCCTTTCACTCTGTTTACAAATCAATGGAAAACTATCTTCAGGTGAGGATTAACAAAAAATATAAATAAATAAAGTTGGGAAGATGACATTGTCCAGCACACAAAATCACTGGGGATGCTCCCTGGGGGGAGTGTGCCTGTTCCCGGGAGGATGCTTCCTCCCTCTACCCACGGGATCCCCTGCCTGCAGACCTCAAGCCCTGCCCTGCAGTAAAGTTATGCTAGACGAGGGCATCACCTGGCACGGGAAGGGTTGTGCCAGTGGTAGCCTGTGGCTCCTTCCCCACCGCCCTGCCCCAGGGTCACAGGGCTCAGGCTCCTGCTTGGGCACCTCAGGGAAGGCCTCCCAGTCGGCCAGCGTAGGTGGCCCAGTGCAGGTGGAAAAGATGCTGCCCCCAGGTGCATGCTGAATCCAGTTCCCTATTTGACAACTCCAAGATCACTGGTGGCTGCAGCCTCTGGACCACAGGAGCACCCACACTCTGCCTGCTCTGCTTCCCCAGCAGGCTGCTGGGCCCCCCACAGGGCTGGGGGCAGCCCTGTGGCCTCCTCACCCCCAAAACTGGGCTGTCCCACCCTGGCTGGTGTGGCTCAGTGCTTAGAGCATCGGCCCTCACACCAAAGGGTCGTGGGTTGGATTCCTGGTCAAGGGCAGGTGCCTGGGTTGTGAGTTCAATCTCCAACCCCGGTTGGGGCATGTGCAGGAGGCAACCAATTGATGTTTCTCTTTCACATCAATGTTTCTCTTTCTCCCCTTTCCTCCCTCCCTTCCACTCTCTCTAAAAATCAGTGGAAAAAATGTTCTCAGTGAGGGTAAAAAACAAACAAAGCTGGGCTGTCCCAAGGCTGGTCAGGGAGACTGTGTCCGCCCGCAGGTCTGAGGTTCACCCACATCTCTGAGCTCAGTGTCTTAGTCCGTAGGAGACAGCGTAGCTCAGTGAGCTGCAAGGGCTTTAGCACAGACATCGACATGAAATCTACTGAGCACTTACCGGGCCTCTGGCTCATTCTGAGCACTCCCCCTGGGATAGCGTATTGACTGGGAGTGCTCAGAATGAGCCAGAGGTCCACAATGCTTTTCAAGGTAGGTGCTATCATGTCCAGCTTACAGATAAGAAAACTGAGGCCCGGCTGAGTGAAGTAACGGGTGGGAGCAGGAGCTGGAGTCTAGCGGCTCCTACCTCACACGTGTGGCCTCGGTATGCTGAGGTCAAGGGGTTCACCAGACATCAGAATAGCTGGCTGTGGTCCGACAGGGCCACCCTGCCTCCTGCACTGGGTCTGGGATGGGGAAGGGAGGGCCATTCTGCAAGCCCAAGCCTCATTGAGAAGGAGGTCCCTGAGCCCCCTGGGGTGTGATCCAGAATGGACTCCTCCCCTGGGCCGGGGGCTGGGCAGGCCCACAGCAGAGACTCCAAGATGAATGAGACACATCCCTCAGAGGCCCCTTGATGTCCAGGGGTGTCAGGCCACACACAGACCAAAAGAACCCCCAACAAGACAAGCATAGGGGCCTGGCTATGCTGGGAGGTATCGTGTCCTCTGCCCTGAGCACCAGGGTCCTGCAGTGGCCTGTCCACCCCAAGCTGGAAACAGTCCCTGGGGGATCACATGACTGTCTGGTACAGTAGGCACCTGTAAGTGTTGGGCCAGAAGTGCAGCCAATGAAATTAAGCAGGCTCCGGGTGAGAAGGGCCGAGTGTAGGCAGAGTGCACAGTGGGCCTTCACTTCGCCTACGCTCCTCCCCGCTGCCTGCTCCAGGCCGTGGCCAGAGGAGCCTGTCGTGGGGGCTCCAGCACGCTGCCCAGGAGGCAGTTGGGGCTGTCAGGCTGGGAAAGGGCGGGGGTGGGGGTCACTGCCCAGCCCTCCAGCAGGATGGGGCACCTCCCCAACACGTGGCTCCTTCCCAGCATCCTTTGTTCCTGGCTCGTGTCCACAGGCTGTCAGCAGTTCCTCCTTGGGTCAAGGTCTGGTCCCTGGGCTGTGCCCAAGGCATCTGTAACGTAATGCTCTTCACCACCCAGAGGGCCACTGAGTGTGAGCCTGTCCGCCCCAGCGTCCCCTGGAAGTGGTGGGCCAGTGGCAGTGTTGGACATGGGTTCAGGGACCTTGCTCTGCCCACACAGTTAGGATGCGGGGGAAAGGGGAGCGCTGACCTGGACACGGCAGGCTGCCCTTTCCCAGGGTGGGCGTGAAAGTTGTCACCACATCACCCCTACTTTACAGGGGACTTTTAGGGGACTCATCCTCCCAGGAACATCCTCATTTTGCCAAATGAAATGGGACAGATTGAGGTGCGGGCCCCCGGCGTGCACTGGGGAAGCCTTCCGAGGGCTGTCCTAGCATTTGGGGATGTTTGCAAGAACGCCCATCTGAGCCCAGCCTGGCTGCTTCCCGGAGGGCACAGGTAGCTTGGAAAGAAGCCCAAATTCCACGCCTTGACCAGGGGTGCCTGGAAGTAAAGAAACATGCACTTATTAGGCACTTCTGTATATGTTCCCTGCGGTGCCAGGGTCAGGAGCAGGAGGCCACAGAGAGGAGAGCAAAGCAGCCCAGCCCAAACCAGGACCAACAGGTGCCGGCATACCGGGGAAGCTCTCCGCCCCACCCCGAGCCTGCCGCTGTAGCCAGAGGGAGCGGGGCAAGTGCTTGTTGGCTTGTTCCCCGCTGCAGATGCTTGTCCCTGGTGTCCCCGGGCCACTGAGTGTGAGGGCTGCTGCTCTGAGCCAAGGCCTGGCTCCAAGGAGGATGCCGCAGCCACCTGCCAGCTTCTGTCTGCACCATGAGTGATGAGCGGCGGCCGCCGGGCAGCGCCGTGGGCTGGCTGGCATGCGGCGGCCTCTCTCTGCTGGCCAACGCCTGGGGCATCCTCAGTGTGGGTGCCAAGCAGAAGAAGTGGAAGCCTCTAGAGTTCCTGCTGTGCACGCTCGCGGCCACCCACATGCTCAATGTGGCGGTGCCCATCGCCACCTACGCCGTGGTGCAGCTGCGGCGGCAGCGCCCCGACTACGAGTGGAACGAGGGCCTCTGCAAGGTCTTCGTCTCCACCTTCTACACCCTCACCCTGGCCACCTGCTTCTCTGTCACCTCCCTGTCCTACCACCGCATGTGGATGGTTCGCTGGCCGGTGAACTACAGGTGAGCCCGGCATATGCACGTGTGCGCTGGGCTGGCTTTTGTTTTTGGAGGGGGCACCTGTGGGCATGAACGCGAAGACCACCTGGTGTACCTGTGGGCACGATGCCCCAGGTGTGGTGACAGTGCCCCGTAGGGTGCCACGGCTGTGCTGCTGGGGGCGGGCAGGGAGGGGCTGCTCTGGGCTGCGGGGGAGGCGCATGTAGGGACGCATGGGTGTGCAGGGTCCGGCGCAGAAACGCTCCATGAGGAGGACGTGTCAATGTGCATGAGTGTCCCCTTGCAAGAGACAAAGCCCGTCATGCTGGTTGTATGATGTACTGCGGGGCCAGGGCATTTGGGGGTCCTCTGCAGGTCCCCGGGATCCCAGGGAGACCCTCTGAGTGACACCGAGTCCCTCTGTCCAACCCCCCCCCATGTCAGGCTGAGCAACGCCAAGAAGCAGGCGGTGCACACTGTCATGGGCATCTGGATGGTGTCCTTCATCCTGTCGGCCCTGCCTGCTGTTGGCTGGCACGACACGAGCGAGCGCTTCTACACCCACGGCTGCCGCTTCATCGTGGCTGAGATCGGCCTGGGCTTTGGCGTCTGCTTCCTGCTGCTGCTGGGAGGCAGCGTGGCCATGGGCGTGGTCTGCACAGCTGTCGCCCTCTTCCAGACGCTGGCCGTGCAGGCGGGCCGCCGGGCTGACCGCCGTGCCTTCACCGTGCCCACCATCGTGGTCGAGGACGCACAGGGCAAGCGCCGCTCCTCCATCGACGGGTCCGAGCCTGCCAAGACCTCGCTGCAGATCACGGGCCTGGTGGCCACCATTGTCTTCATCTATGACTGCCTCATGGGCTTCCCCGTGCTGGTGGGTGAGCCCGTCAGTTGTGGGGAGCCTGTCGGGGGATGTGGGCTTGGGGCAGGCACACTGCAGGCATTAGGTGCTTGAATTCTCATACCCAATCCTCTAAGGGGGGCATTATCCACATCCCCATTTTACAGGCTTGGAAACCGAGGCTCAGAGAGGTGGCTGACTGACCCAAAGTCAGGGCAGCCTTGGTAGGACTTGAACTCATCTCAGGTGACTTCACGACCCAGGACCTTTCTACCACATTGCAGGGGACTCTCACCTGAGTGCGGCCCGTTTAGTGCAGAGGGTATGAAAGGGGGTTAACGAGCCCACAGGCTTCCTGGTGGGTCCAGGCCTCGGATGTACAGAGCGAGGCTGTGGTGTAGCAGACTGACCTCTGTCCTGGACGGGGAGGCAGGGCAAGCTGCGAACGTCTACTGGGGAGTTGGACTGCATCCCAGGGGCTGAAGGTCAAGGTGAGGTCTGGTCCGAGGAAGGCCCAGTCAACAAGGTCCAAGGTCCACTGAGGCTGACTGGGGTCCTGCCAGTGACCCAAGCCCTGGCCCAAGAATGAACTCTAGACCCAAGAGCCTTCCCACCCATGGGTCTCTAGCCCAGCCCCCAGCCTGAAATAGGACAGGTTGAAGTATAGGGACAAGGACCAGACAGAGGCTTCCTCCAAGCAGCTGGGTAGGGTTGTGTCCCTGGAGACATTATAACACAAGCTCAAGAAGGTGACAGGTGGGGTGGCAGCCTCATGGTCAGGGATGCAGCCCCTAGCGACCTGCTCTCCACCTTCGGTGGGCCCAGTATCCCCCAGGTACGGGGCCCTCCTGTGTGCACTGGGGCCCAGCAGCCCCTGCCCCTGTGCTGAGGGAGGGAGTGTGTATGAAATTACCCCCAGCTTCTCTGCAGGGCAGGAAAGGGGGTGCTGTCTATGGAGCCCACTCTGCTGTAGGCCTGGCGCAGTGTCTGCCATCTTTGCCTCACCCTGTAGGGTGTTCTTGGTCCATTTCACAGATGAAGAAACCGCGCCAGAGAGGTTCAGCACCTTTCTGAGGGACGTGCAGCTCGAGGGGAAGAACCAACGTGATGTCTGCATCACGCCCTCTTCCTCTCTGATGGGGGAAAGTTAAATGTCACTCCAGGTGGGGGAATGGGAGAGGAGGAATGGGGCTCTCTGGGCAGTGACCCAGAGGCCACTGGTTGGACCCTCTGACCCTTAGAAACTGCTCTGATTCTCCTCTGGGGTCTAAGCCTAGACCCCCCGAGTAGGGGCACTGGGAGGCTTGAGACCGATTCTCCAAGTCTGTTTCTCTTCCCCAAGAGGGGGTGGCGATCCATACCCCCACCCCTGTCCTCAGGCAGTCACGCGGGTACCCTGAGGGGCGGCACGCCCAGCGCTGCCCGGTACACCGTGGAGGGCGTGCACACGTGGGCTGTGCCTGTTTATCTCTGCAGCGGGCAGGGACTTCTGCCCTCACTCGGGCTCTTTTCTGCCCTAGAGCCCAGAGCTGTCTGCCGCCACCTCCTCGGGCAGGTGGGCAGTCAGACCTGCCACCCAGAAGGGAGAGCTGAGTCTGGGAGGGGAAGCTGTGTGGGGGTCCCTGCCCGGTGCCAGGCGGAGCACTGTGCCCACAGGTGGTAAGCTTCAACAGCCTCCGGGCAGATGCCTCAGCTCCCTGGATGACGCTGTGTGTGCTGTGGTGCTCAGTGACCCAGGCCCTTCTGCTGCCCATGTTCCTCTGGGCCTGCGACCGCTACCGCGCCGACCTCAAGGCTGTCTGGGAGAAGTGCATGGCCCTCATGGCCAACGACGAGGATTCGGACGGTGGTGAGGATGCCCTGAGTGTGGCCCCTCAGGAGAGGGGCCTCTGGGCGAAGTCATCGGGATAACAGTTGTCAGGTGACCACCTCATGGCACTGAGGTGATCCCACTGTCAACTGCCAAACATCCCCTGTATTACTTCCAAATGTGCTTGAACCCTTAAGGGACCTAAGTGTCCCATGAGACATCCTCCTATCCTGGTTGCCTGCCCCAGGCACTAGCTGTGGACACCAAACTGCATGTGTTCCGAGGTTCCAACTTTAGGGGTTCCCAGTGGCTCCTGCAGGCCCAGGTCCTGTCTCCCCCAACAATGACAGTGTTACCCTAAGCTGAGACCTTGCTATGTGCCAGGCACTGTTGGCCCCTTGTGCGTACTCAGTCTTCCCAAAACTCATGAAGTAACCTCAAGTTGCACCCCCACTGACAAGGAAACTGGCTCAGTGTGTGACTGCCCCAGTCCCACAGCTAAAAGGCGACAGAGTCAGGATTTGTACCCAGGACCCCATCCTTCCTCTCTCCCACTAACCAGCCCTCTGTCCTGTGCATGCCTGTGGGGGGCCCTGGACTAATTTTTTGATACCCCCAAGTTTCGGTGGCCGGCCCTAAGCTTCTGCCCCACCCTGCAGATACCAGCTTGGAGGATGGCGCGCCTCGGGACCTGATCCTGGAGCGCTCCCTCGACTACAGCTATGGGGGCGACTTTGTGGCCCTGGACAGGATGACCAGCTATGAGCTGTCCCTGGAGGGGGCCCTGCCCCAGTTCTACCAGCTGGGGCCCTTGCAGGAGGACAAGATGCAGTACCTGCAGGTAGGCACACGCAAGGCTCGGAAGGTACTGGAGGGGGGTCATCCTGAGCTCCCTCAAGCCCTTCCCCTCTGACTCCATCTCCCGCCGCAGCTCCAGCTCCGAGGGCTGGCTTTCACCCTCCCAAGGATGGGCGGCCCCAGGTGCAGAACCTACGCAGGTGGGGCACCCCAGTCCGCCCCAGTCTTCCTTGCGCTCTGGGAGCGTGGTCCACCCAGCGCCTGTTATTTCCTTGGGGCTCAGCACGGCAGGCACGCAAGGGGTATCTCCCCAACCTCCCAAGGCCCAGATGACAACACAGACTCGGGGAGATAGAACAGGGTGCTCTGCCCCAGGCGTCGTCCTGGTCCGCAAGCCGCCCGCCCCGTGTATGGAGGCGTGGGTCACTGTTTTCTAGGAGGGCAGCCCGGGTTAACCCCGCCGGTCCTGACAGGTCCCGCCCACGCGACGCTTCTCGCACGAGGACGCAGACCTTTGGGCCGCGGTCCCGCTACCCGCCTTCCTGCCGCGCTGGGGCTCTGGGGAGGACCTGGCCGCCCTGGTGCAGCCCTCTGGGCCCGACCCGCGCCCCGACCGCCTGCGGGCCCTCGCCGAGGACACGCCCCCGTTCCGTCCGCGCCGCCGCTCGGCCGAGAGCCTGCTGTCGCCGCGCCCCCCCGCCCTGGACGGCCGCCCGCGCCGCGCTCGCCACTCGCACCCCAGCAGCCCCCGCCGCCGCCCCGGGCCTGGAGCCCGCTCCGCCTCGGCCTCGCTGCTGCCCGACGCCTTTGCGCTGACAGCCTTCGAGCGCGAGCCGCAGGCCCTGCGCCGCCCGCCCGCCCCGCCGGCGCTCTTCCCCGCGCGCGCCCCCGACGCCGCCGGCACCGCCCAGCCCGGCGTGGACACGGTGCCCCCTGGCGGGGCCAGCGCGCAGCGGAGCCCTGGGCCGCGCGCGGCTGCGCATGCGCACGCCCGGCCCCTGCGGACAGCCCTGAGTGCGTCGTGGGGCGAACCCACCGGCCTGCCAGTGGCGGGCGGCGGCGGCAGCACCAGCAGCTTTCTGAGCTCGCCTTCCGAGTCCTCGGGCTACGCCACGCTGCACTCGGACTCGCTGGGCTCCGCGACCTAGGAGCAGCCCTCCGGGCCAAAGCACCAAAGATGCCACCTGCCCCAGCAGGGCTCCGGGCAGGGCGGCACTGAGCCCGCCAGTGACGACTGGACATGTGCCAGCCTTCCCGGGGCGGCGGGACGCAGCTTTGTCGCCCTGTGAAGCAGGCTTTGCCTGGAGAGACGATGGCTGCCCCGGAGGACTGTGCCCAGCACTTCATCTCTGGGGCAGTGAAGCTGGGCTTGGGTAAAGGGGGGTCCACATGTGCCCAGCCCCTGGACAGCAGGGCTGGGGTCGGGGTGGTGGAGCCTCGGGACAGGGCCACCTCCAGACAGAGCAAAGCCTGGCTCTGCAGGAGGCGGAGCCACCGGACTGCCGGCTTTCCACTCTGTACTAGACCTGTCTCACCTCGGGGGGTGGGGTACAGAGGGTCCCCAGGCACAGGGGTCTTCGGAGCCCAAACAAGTTCTCCCAGCAGGCTAAAGCACAACACTTTGACATCTTCACCATGGGCACGACACCCACCTTGACTGGTTATTGTCCTCACTTGCATTATTTCTCATTGCCTGTCCTCCACGTTGGCCATCTCTGTGACTCCCCCCATGAAGGTCGAGGGTACAGGGTGGGAAGGACTGAAGCAAAGGAAAAGTGGGCTTACTTATTCTGGTGTCCATCCCAGCCTCACCCCACCCTATGGGTCTGGCCGAAAGCCCCCGTTTCTGGGTTTCTGACAAGGGTCCTCCCCAACCATGTAAACAGGATTCTTTGCTCTCCGTCCTGGCAGACCCCTTGCAGGCCTGGGCTTTGGCATGGGCCCTGGGGAGGAGCTGGCTGGGACTTCTAGGGGGGAAGCCCCTAGACACAGGCTAAGGAGAGGCCCAGGGACGGCTGTGAATTGGAGGGACAGGGGCAAGTGCAGAGGCTGTCTGGTCTCGGCTCCTGCCTTCATGCAGTGACTAAAACATGGAGCCCTGGAGCAGGTCCAGGGCCAGCATGGAGCCTGCCTGCACACTGTCCCCTCCTGCTCTGCCCCTCCAGGGGCTACGCCTTTCTCCTCACTCCCCAGACTGGGTCCCAGCCCCAGAAGCAGCCCCTGGGAGGAGGGAGGATGGGCTGCCTGGCTCCATCCCTGCTTCAGAGGCTCCTGCAGTCCCTGGCTGCGAGATTATCTTGGGGACAAGCTGGCCACTGGTGAGCGAGGCAGGGGACTGCTGTCCAGCTGGGCCTTCAAGGACTGACATGTCATGAGGTCATCAGCTAGCTACTCTCCCCCCTCAGGCTGGCACATTTGTCACCTTGGGTTTTCACTCTATTTCATATCCAATGGCAATACTTGCAGGGGGACATGGTACCTCGAAGTCCTTCTAGTCCTGATTATTACAAAAATAAAGAGGAGGGAGGGCCCCAAGCCGAGGGCCCTGGGGCCTGGAGCTCCCTCTTACACTTTGTGAGCTGCGTTGATTAGCAGCTTGACCCTGGGCTTAGTGGGGAGGAAGTTCTATCCTCCTATCACCACCCAGCCCAAAGCCAGGGATCGGTTTGTAGTTTTTTGTTGTTGTTGTTTTTACAACTAATCATTTCTCTTCTGTACAGACCCAATAAAAATTTCCTATGATTCGCACCCAGCATTTCTAGAATGGTTTCATGGAAATGCCTTTCTAGAATCTAACAGCGCCCCTGGCCAGCTGCCCCCAAATGCCTCTCCCTCGGGTCTCGAATTCCTCTATTGGTGCGCCGTTCTTCTGGGTTGGACCTGCCCATTTTTTCTGAAAGGGCCGTGCCCCAGGTGGAGTTTTCCAGGCCTGGAGCAGTGAGTGGGGTGGGCACCAAGGCCCTACCGTCAGGAGAGGCCCCTGCCCCACTGATGGTTTCTGAGGCCACTAGCCTCTAGCCCCTGTGAGGTTGATTCAGGAGGGCGAAAAGGGCAGGGCAGTTGGAGCCAGGGTCGCTGGACCTGTTTTGCCCAGTGACCAGACCCCTGGCCGCATTGGAATTTGGAGGCCGCGCCCTGGGTCCGCGGTGCGAGATCGCCACCTGGTGACCAGAAGGAGTCTTAGAGCCTCCACCCAAACCTAGGACTGCGGTAAGCGAGACCCCGCAGGCGGCCGGGAAAAACCGCCGCCACCGGGACTCCTGCCTTCGCCTCGCGCCAGAGCTCGCTGGGTGGGATGGGGGAGCCGGGTCGCTTTCTCCTTGCGATCTGGCCAGTACGGGTTTAGCACATGAGCAAGACCGGGGCAGCCAAAAACAAGAAATGTTTTCTACAAAGTGATATTTGTAGTTCAAAAAGATGCACTTAAATAATCATGGTGGGATAAAGGAGAACCTTGGTAGTCTCTTTATACCCATTTCACAGGTTCGCACTCTTTATTCTGCATTTCAAGCTGGTGGGAGGAGGTGTCGAAATCTCTTCCTGAGCACAGCCCAAGAACCCCATCTGGTCCTCCACCCCCACGATCCCCATCGCGTGCCGGGACCCCGGAAACAGATGCCCAGTGCTCCAAGGGCTGTCGAAGGTCGTGGGCTCCCAGGCGGCCCCAGAAATCCGGAGGCGCGGGCTCTGCGGAGCCGGGCCGGGGTCTTCGCCGAGTGGGAAGGAGTGGATTCTCCCACCAGAGGAGGTCGGCTTCACTCCATCAGACCTCAAACTGGCGCAGCAGTGCGCGGGGTCCCCTCCAAGAACCGCGTCTGGTGGGCAGAGAGGTGGGAGGAGCTTCTCGTGGAGCAAAGACAGAGCTCTGGGCGGGCTGCGGGGAGGGGGCAGCTCCGGGAGGTGCTTCTCACAGGCGCGGGCCTTGGAGCGCGCGCCCGCGGCGAGGGTACCGCGCTACGTGCGGAGGGGGTTGGGGATCCGTGGAAGCCGAGAAGGAGGTCGAGGGTGGGGGTGGGCTGGGGGCCCCTCGCCCCCGGGGCGGGCCCGGCGCGCTTTGTGCCGGTGGGAACCGGGAGTCCCTGGCAGGTTGAATGGGCCGGGGCGGGGCAGCGATTCTCCTCGCTGCGAGGGGTCTGCTCTGCGCCGCTGCAGACTGCGACCTTCCCACCGCAGCGCGGCTGCGGGGTGGGGGCGAGGGCGGGCTCCCGCTGGGGGCCCTGGGAAAGAGGTGCAGCCCAGGACATCCTCTCCCAGCCCCTTTAGAAGTGGGAGGAGGAGGAGCAGGTCCAGCCCGAGTAGGTGAGGCTGGAGTCGGGGGTATGTTATGCCTAGACGCGCAGACCTGGGTCCACCGTGGCTTCGCATATTTCTCTGCGTTCTCGGGGCACCCGTCCGGCCACCCTCACCACGGACCAGGACGGACGCGCTCAAAACTGCGCCCGCAGACCAGACGGGGGACCCCCTTGAGTCCGAGGCCACGCCTGGGCCTCACCAGGGCCGCCACAGGCGCAGCCCCGTCCCCGGGCTCTCGGCGCAGTGGCGAGACGCCGCCTGCGGTGCCGAGACGTTGGTGGACGGGCCAGGGAGACCACTGGGGTGGAGGAGCCGGGTTGGCGGGGACCGCGGGCCGCCGGAGGCCGGATCAGGGGCCCAAATGGTGGGGGCACAAGGACCTCGCCGCGCGGACGCCTCCGGGCCGGGGCTGGCGCTGTCCATGGTGCTGCCTGCCACGTGCTCGTGCACCAGGGGGCAGCGCAGTCCGCCGCCACCCTCCTCCTCGCGGCGCAGAAGCTGGCTAACGCCGGGCAGACAGCCCCGGAAGCCCGACGGGTACTCGACTCCGCTGGAGACCGGCCAGAGCCCTGGGGGAAGGGGAGCGGACGAGAGAATTGTGGAGTGCAGGGTAGAGTAGAAGAAGGTAAACGAAAAGGAGAGTTGTAGAGAAGAGAGAAAAGGGAAGGGGAGAAGTGTGGAGGGGAAAGGAAGAGAAGGGAGAGGAGGGGAGAGGAGGCTTCCTGAACGTCTCCCCAGGGGTCCAAACCTTCTTCCATTCGGATTACAGCTCAGCCAGCCGGCCTGTGCCGCCTCCCTCCTCCAGCCATCGGGGGCCCCTCCTCACTCAGCTGCACACTGCCCTGCACCTCTCTCTCTCTCTCTCTCTCCTTTCTTTTAAATAAGTTTTTATTGATGACTTAGAGAGAGAGGGAGAGAGAGAGAGAGAAACATCTATGTGAAGGAGAAACATGGATCGGCTACCTCCTGCACGTCCCCCACTGGGGATTGAGCCCTCAACGCAGACACGTGCCCTGACCGGGAATCCAACCAGAACCTCTCAGTCCATGGGACGACGCTCAGTCCACAGAGCCACACCGGTGGGACAGGCGCTGCACTTTCTTTTCCATCCATCCCTCCCTCCTTTATCTGGCCTTGTGTTATGCATGGCTCTGATCCTACTAGCCCCTCCCCTCTTGATCCTACCCCCCAAGCCTTCCAGGGTCCACCTCTACCTTGTACCGAGTTCTGAAGGCTTTTCATGTACTTGACGCTCAGCTCCAGGATGTCTGCCTTCTCCAACTTGCGTTTTCGGATCTGCGGGTTTGTGAAGAGGGCTCTTAGCTGGGGAGCCCGTGTTGGAGGAGATGAGGGTCCATGGCACCTGTGCCTCACCTGGTGTGAATAGTGCTTCTCCAGCAATGACCTGAGCTGCTCCAGCGACACATTGATGCGTGCCCGGCGCTTCTTCTCCATCAGCGGCTTGGAGATCTGTGGACAAGAGGCTGTCAGAGGGCAGGGCCATGGCCCTCTCGACCTTTGCCCCCGCTGGCCTGGCAGGGCCCCCACTTTGAGCTCTTCAGAACCCCAGACCTTTCGGAATCTGCCTGCAGGGCCGCTGGAGTTGTCCTGGGTCTGGGGCTCAGTGCCCATGTTGTCGTATCTGTACCCGAGGGAGGCAGCTCAGCCTTTATAGGGGCCCCTCGTTTACATGTCAATGAGGTGATCCCAGACTCCAGGAACCTTGAAGGGGAGGGGATGAGCAGGGGACACACCAGTACATTCCCACCTCCCTCTGCCTGACCTCCTCCCCTAGCTCAGGCTTCAGCCTCTCCTCCAGAACCTCTCCCCCTCCCTAGCAACCTCTTTTATTCTTTCTCAGTCTTCCCTTTATCCCTCTCACCTCCACCACTTCCCAAGTCTGGGGTCCTCTCCCATGCCCATTCCCTCCAAGCCTGTCTCATCCCAGTATCCCTAGGTGCCAGCTCTCTCCACCAGGCCCATTTATCCTGTCCTTGCCACTCTTGTCTCCGAGCATTCTCGGGGGCATCCACCGAGGGTCCTTGGGCCCAGCCAGCTTTGAGTCCCGCTAATGACTGTGACAGCACCAGGCCTCCGCCGGCCTGATGAAGATGCGGAGGCAGGGAGCGCCCACCAGTGAGGCCTTTCTGCGGGCTTCACGCTCTGGCCGCGTTGCCAATGCTGCATTAGTAACCCTAATGTTGGGACAATGCAGCAATTTTCTGCCTGTGGCTGCTCAAAGCCCAGCTCAGGCAGGGCCTGAGGGGGCCACACAGCAACATGTGTCCCATTAAAGCATGCAGCCCGCCCGCAGGGCCACAGCCAGCCTCCTCCTCCCTGGGGCCTTGGGACTGGGAGCCACCCTGTCAGCTTGCAGCCTGGACGCAGTGCCCTCAAGCCCTGTTAGGAATTATGCTCTTCCTTGGGGGACGTGGGGCAACCTGCAGGCAATCCCTGGCCAGGGTGAGTCCGAACAGCCTTCCCCACCTCCAGTTCTGGGTTTCCGGGCTGGACAACTCGGGCTCTGAGAACCCTTTCCTTACAGGGCAGGCCTGGGAGTGTATGCCCACCGGCCTTCTCTGGGTTCCAACAAATGGCAGATGGGGGTGGGGAACACCACTGATCATATGGGAGTCATTCTGTGCTTTTGAAGGTCTGGTACCCCAACTTCTTTTCATTATTCCGGCCGTAGCTGGAGACCCAGGGACTCTGGGAAGGAGACCCCCGTCCCAGGACGCGCTGGGCCCCACGGACGACTCGTGCCGTCAAGGGTTTGGCTCCAGGAGCAGGACTCCAGTAGCTTTGACTGACAGGAAGACTGACGTCCAGGGAGACCCAGGGTTCGAGCCTACACAACTCCCTCTACTGGCCTCATAGCCTCAGTTTCAGGGTTTGTAAAATGGGGTTCCGAACAATGCGACGCCCGCAGCTGCTTCCAGGGCGATGGGGAAGTCACATGGACGCAAAAATTTCGAAGTTGAGCCCCGCGGCGGAGAAACGAACAAATTAGCCCTTGCAGGGCCTCCTCGTGAGGGGTGAGGGAAAGCTGCTCGGTGCTGTGTGGGCCCCCTTTCACCTCCACCCGGGGCATCTCTCCCGCTCCCCGCCCCGCCCGAGAGACTTGGAAGGGCCCCACCAGGGCAGCGTCTTCCCCGGCGCCAAGCAGCGTGGAGAATGGCGCCCCGTCTTCCTTTCAGGCTGAAGCTGCGGCGACAGCGGCTCCACGGTGCTGTTCCGCCCCGGCCGCAGGGCCCACGGGCCAGATCCGGGCCGGGCCGGGGCGCGCCGCGGGGCTGAGGCCAGACGGAGGGCGCTGGCACGCGCCACGTAGCTTTGAAACTCCGGGGCTGGCTGGGCCCGAGCGGCCTCCGTGCGTGCGCTCCGGCTTGGGCCTGGGCGGCGCGGTACAAAGGCACCGCGGGGTGGCCGGGCGGCGCAACCGGGCACAAAGGGGGCAGCCGAGTGTTAAGGGCATTGTGCCGGCCCCACAAAGCCGCGCCCGCGCCCTCCCCCTCGGTGCCAAACTCGGGGCGCCCCGCTGCGCACAGGCTTCCAGCTGCTGCACAGCTGCACCGAAGCTGGGCGCGCGCTGCGCTCTGGCGGTCCCCTAAGCCCCCGCCTCCGCTCTCGAGCTGCGCGGGCAGCGGGGCAATTTGTCCTCTAATTAGGATCCCTCCCCATAAACCGCTGCCCGCGCCTTTCAACTCCGGCGCGTAGGCAAACCAATGGCCCCCGGCGTGGCTCTCGCAGCCGCAGCGGGAGCGCGGGGCCCGCCCCTCTCCAGAGCTAGGGCCACCATAAAGGGGCCCCCGGGCCGTTCCTGCTCGCACCCGGCACCACTCCTCTCGAGCTGATGCCCAAGAACCCCGGCCGCGCAGGGTGGGGCCGCTCACGTGGGTGGCTTAGTGTTTCTTAAGCAGTGGAAAATTGACCGCAAAATGCTCTAATTCGCAATGTTCTGCTTTGGCTGCAGGGGCTAGGCCGGCGGGGCGGGATTCTCAGCCGTCAGGATCCGCCTCCGCCCACTTCAAGAGCCTCTGCCTCCGCCGCCCCCACTCTCACCCCGGCACCGCTCGCTCGCCCCTCCAAGGTCCTCTCGCTGGGTCTCCCTCCCTAGGCTGATTCCCCTCATCCCACTGTCCGATCTTCCTAGTGCGGCTCCCCCGCCGCCGATCTCGTCGTAAGCCGGCCGAGGGTCGCACCCTCCCTTTCCCCGTGCTCCAAGACAGCGTCCCCCGCCCCTTCCCCACTTGACCCCAATTCGGGCTCCTTCTTCAGGGCAGCCACTTCCCCCACGAAATTAAAGGCGAGGTCATTGGAGAAAATAGTAGATAAGTCTCCACCAAGATCCCTCTCCGATGCCCAGGCTGGGGACCCAGCTTCTCCCCGTCTCCCATGCAGTTGGCCAGTTCTGCGTCTGGGCATTCTGCGCTCACTCCGGCAGGCCAGGCCCCCGGGGCGCGCAGGGGTGGGGGAGACGGTTTCCGAAGTGTGGGTGCTGCAGGGGTTCACTCCACGCCCTCTCTCACAGCACTCAGAACCAAGTGCTCTCGAGCTGCCGGGAAGGGCATGTACCAACTCAGAAGCAGGGCTTATGCAAGCTGGGATGTAGGCCACCGGCTCCCTTTCCATCCTTAGGATCTGGGGTCCCCAGGGTGCTTGGAGGGAGCACAAGTCAGTCCGGGCAGAGCGCCGAGAGACTGAGGCTGTCCTTGCTCATTCAAGGAACAAACTCCTTCTGTAACTTCGGACAGCTCTCGGGGCGCCCAGAAGAGCCCCCTGCCTCCTCGCCCTTGGGAATTTAAGGCGAAGAGTAACTGTGGCTTTGCCCTGCCTTCTCCCCTTTGGCTTTCTTAACTTTGGCAACAACAACAACAACAACAACAAAAACATTACAGAATGAGTCGAGTCTGGAAACGGGGTGGGGAGGGGTCTGTAGGCCCCAGGTCAAGAATCCCATTAGATGGCCCACAGCCATCCCAGGTGACAGCCCTGTGCAGGCTGTCTGCCTTGTGCCAGGGCCTCTTCTGTCCTGCAGCCCCAGGATTTCAGCAATGCTCCCAGGCAAGTGCTGTGAAGGCCACTTAGGGTGTGGTGACTGGTGGGAGAAATGTACCCTCCCCTCTGCAGACGCATTTCAAAGAGGAATGGAGTGATTGCTCCATGCAATTAACTATTGGGACCAGCAAAAGCCCCGGAATGACTCAGCCAATTGTCTCCAGATGGGGTTGGAGAGGCTGCAATTGTTTAACTCTGTTTAGCTGTGTTGGGACTCCGAATAGCTCAGCAGCCAAGGGTCCTTTAGGGGACAAAGGCTGGGACTCCGGTGAGTGCATCAACACTGAACCGGGCTGGCCCAGCTCCGGGAGAGTGAATTCAGAGAGACCCCCATTGTCCCAGCCTTTTGTGTTTCTCCCCAGCTGGCTCTAATCTTTAAATATTTACCCGGCTGCTTTGTGCGCATATGACTTATGCACTTTGCGCTGATGTGCTCATAAATCACGCATCATTTACCCATTTCCAGACTAGAGAGAGGAGGCTTGAATGCCTGGTGCCCAGAATGGCCATGGGAGAGAAAAGAAAACTTTGGAGGACCAGGGTTCCCTCCCGGGAAGATCTGAGGCCACCACACTGGACAGCCTCACGGGGCCCCAAGAGGCCACTCTAACAGCAACTGACTAGGGACCTACATGCAGAGAAGGGAGAGAAACCTGGCTCCTGGACTTTTCCCTGCTCGGTGCAAAGCTTGGAGAAGAGCAAACTTTCCATCTAGGGAAGTGAATGTAGGTTGAGGTGCTTGGTTAACTCCTGTCCTTGCCCCTGCCTCCTGCTTGCTCTGCAGCTCCCCACCTCATTCTTGCTCAAGAATGTAATCCGTTAAAGAAACGGAAGCCCAATTTCATCTCAGCCTGCAGTTTAACTTGGAAAAGTCAAGGTGGTTCTTAGGACTCTTTAATCAGGAGGGATTCGGAGGATGGAAAGCCACCTCAGCTGGTGGGTGGATGGCAGAGGGAGGGCCCTGCTGAAGGACCTTCCTCCTGCATGAGAAAGAGCTCCCTTTGTGCTTGCCTTGCAGCTCCTAGAACAAAACACATTCAAATGCTTATTTACAAAAAAAAGGCGAGCAAGGCATCCCAGGGCCGAGCTGCTCTCCTTTATTTTCTTATATTATCTGTAGGCTTGTTGTTGCTCTGGACTGGGGGAGGGGGATGACACACTGGGATGACACTGGAGAGCTGGGTGCAGAGTGGATTTGTTTGATCACATTGCTTTCCTCTCTGGTGGGAAAGCCCGTTTGTGTGTGTGTACCTCTGTGTGTCTGTGTGTATCTCTTTGTGTTACTTTGTTTCGCTGGGTCTATGCCAGTGTTACTTTGTTTCTCTGGGTCTAGGCTATAGTGTGAATATATTTGCTTGCTTGCCTTTCTCCTCCATCACTGCCCTGTGAGCCCTGAGCCCTGATAGAATCAGCAACTCCGGTAACTTCTAAAAATTCCCCATCCCTCTCAGCTGGCCCTATCTTTCTTGCTCCCCCTTGCTTTCTCCCTTTCCAAGATGGGGCTGGTAGGGTCTAATGGGGAGTGATGGGCAGAGGAGAAAGGAGACTCTCCAGTCTGGATTACATTACTGTGTCCTCATCATAGGGATGTTTCTGGGGGGAATCAGGGCCGTAAGTCAGCATGGAGAGCAGAAGTCAATGGCCAGCAATGGAGGTTCCTGGGGGCAGCTCTCTGCCCCAGGACCAGACTCACTCCCAGGAGTGAAGATGCCACGAGCGCTCTCTAGTGGCCCCCAGGCATCCTGGCACAGAAGGGGAAGTCCTGAGTCTGGGGGAACCCATGAGAAACAGGCAGAGGCAGGAGTTCAACCTAATACCCAGGCCTTCTTGCCACATGGCACTGGGCGACTCTGGATTTTTTAAACATTATATCTCTTTTTAATTCGAACCAACTGAGTTCAGCACATGTCTTCTGTGCACCATTTAAATATGGTACTAGGCCTTACAGAAATCAGGATCCCCATTTTACAGAAACTGAGGCTCCTAGAGTTGATTTGCCCAAGGTCACAAAGCTGGACTGCAGCGGCACGGGGGCCCCAGTACCAGCTCTGTATCCTTCCCTGAACCCAGCTGCCCCAAAGCCAGGTGTCCTGCCAGGTCCTTCGGGGCAGCCAGGGGCTCAGAGCCAGGACCTGGCTGACTGCAGCTCAGCCCACCAGGCCTCCATGGAGCTGTCTGGCCCACTACTCTGGGCTCCAGCCTCCCCTGGGGCCTGTCCCCTATCCTGCCTCGCGCTTGCTTCCTCCTGCCTCTGTGACTACAAACTCCGTGCCACGCTCCCTCCCTTCCTCCCCTTAGATGCCCTTGTTCTCATTTCTAGTGGCAGGAGGGCTGCTACCCTCCCCCCAAGGGCCCCAAGACCTAGCTGCAGCATCTCTCTTCCACGCAGACTCCTAACCCTTCCGCTCTCCCGCCCATGGTCCCTCCCACCCCACCATACTTTTCTAGACATTTGTTGACTTGCCTTTCTCCCCCACCATCGCTCTGTAGCTCCCCAGATGGGGGCATTATTAACCCTTAAAAAAAAAAAAAAAAGGACACCCGGGGCAGGTTCGGCTCGGTGCTTAGAACACTGGTTTGCGGACTGAAGGGTCACGGCTTCCATCCCCTGTCAAAAGCACGTACCTGGGTTGTAGGTTTGATCCCTTTGGGAGGCAATCAACCAATCGATGTTTTTCTCTCACATCAATGTCCCCTTCCACTCTATCTAAAAATCAGTGGAAAATACCCTGGGTGAGGATTAACACACACACACACACCAGTAAAGAACAATTTCTGATTATGAAAGTAATGTCAGTTGATTGTGAGCCGTATGCAAAATACAAAAACATATGACGGAGAAAATAAAAGTCGCCCAGAGCTTTACCACGTGAAGACGACCGCTGTGAAATCATTTCCGCTTCGATTTCAATCATTTTCCCGGGCTCACGCAAAAGATTCTGCTTTCCCCGGGGGAAATCGAGATCAGACTGTCAAGTTCTGAATCCTGCCTTTTAGAAAATGGAACCTATCCTGAGTTGTTCCACCATCGACCATGTGGGCGGTCACCCCGCCGCGTGGGTGCCCGGCGCGTAGGGTGCCCCACGGGCAGTGTGCTCGCGGGGCGCGGCGTGGGCTCGGCGGGCGCGCGGGGACCCTGCGGGGGGCAGGTGGGGGTCGCCGTGCTCGTCCCTGCGTGCGGATCCCTAGAGGTGGAGGACGGGACCGGCCGCGCTCGCGGCTGGGGCCGAAGGGTGTGAATTTGGGGGAGGACGGCGCGGGGCGCGCCGAGGGTGGGGTCGCTTCGCATTTCACCGGAGTCTCTGGTCGAGGACTTGCCGGAGTTTGGTGGCGATTTCTCCGCCCGGGACCCAGGCAACCTGCGGCCCCACCCCGCCCGCCGCCGCCCGCAGGCGGGACCCGGCCGGCTGGGCGGAGCCGACGGGCCGGGCGGTCCCTGCGGGGCGGGGCGCTCCCGCCAAACTCCAGCCTCCGCCCCGCGGCGCGGCGGTATCGCGAGAGCTGACGGGCGGCGCGCAGCTCCGGCCGCTCCCTCCCGGCTGGCGTTGGCGGCGCAGTGCGCAGGCGCGGCGGGCGGGTTTCCCCGGGCTACGGCCGGCGCTGTCGCCCGCTGGTCCGCCGCCCTGCGCCATGGCGGGCTGCGCGGCGCGGGCTCCGCCGGGCTCCGAGGCGCGTCTCAGCTTCGCCACCTTCCTGCTGGGCGCCTCGGTGCTCGCGCTGCCGCTGCTCACGCGCGCCGGCCTGCAGGGCCGCACCGGGCTGGCGCTCTATGTGGCCGGGCTCAACGCGCTGCTGCTGCTGCTCTACCGGCCGCCGCGCTACCAGGTGCGGGCCGGGCGGCCGAGGGCACCTTCCCCGGGCGGGCGCGGGGTGGCAGCGGAGGGCAGCGGGGCTCCTTCCCGCGGCGAGCTCCCCGGCCGCGAGTGCAGGGGGCAGGCTCGGGGGCGTGGGGCCCGGGGCCCTCCACCCGGCGGAGTGGGTGCAGATTTGCAGTTGGTGCTGTTCAGCAGCTGCGGCAGATGCGCGTGGGGTGAGGAGTGAGCGAGCGCGCGAGTTCTTTTATGTAATTGAAGGTGTGGAGACCTACCTACCTGCGGTCAAGGCTGAGGTCAGAGGCCCCGCAGTTACGTGGAGGGGGCTGGGCGCAGAGTCCCGGGCGCCGGGACCAGATTCGCCGCGGGGACTTGGGAGAATCCGCTTCCAAAATTAGGTTCACAGTTTACCCACAGCCCTGAAGAATAATAGCAGCAATAATTCATAACGACAGCTAAAGTTATGTAGCCTTTGCTCTTAAGTGCTTTACATGGGTGATCTTCAAGGCGATTCTAAAAGGTAATTATTATCCCCATTGCGTAGATGGCGAAACCGAGGTCCAGAGAGGTTAAGTAACTTGCCCAAGGCCGCACAGGTGGAGAGAGGTGGGCGCGGGAATTCAACCCAGGCTCGGTACTTGCCTGGGGCCTGCTTGTCCCAGGAAGTAGGGTGTGTATGCTCCGGGAACTTCCCAGTGACTGATCTGCTTTTGAGTCTCTTTTAGATAGCCATCCGAGCTTGCTTTCTGGGTTTCGTGTTCGGCTGCGGGGTGCTGCTGAGTTTTAGCCAGTCTTCTTGGACTCACTTTGGCTGGTAAGAAGTACTTTGGGGACAATGGTTTGAGGCTTGGGTGGGCAGATTGGAGGGTTAGTACTGGTGTTTCATCATCCCTGGCTGAAAACTGTGTAGGGTTCTGTGGAAATGACGTAGCTGTCTTCCACCTAGATTCCTACATCTTAGACTTGGAGAAATTGTGCCCATTGGTTGTTTCTGTTGCCGGCAGAAGCAGGTCTGTCTCCCTGGCACCCTCCCCACAGGTGCCCTCACCTGCAGCTGCTGTGATGTCCTTGCTGATGGGAAGGGGCAAGGCTCTAGCTCGTCCTCACAGGCCTCTTCCATCTCTCATTTCTGTTAGGTCACATCTAGGCATCCCCCATGGCCAGTGTAGAGTTTTTCCCTACACTATGATTTTAGTCCCTTGAGCCTTCTAGTCCCTGACCTGGATATGAACTAGTGGCTTCAAGTAGAAAGCTTCATCTCCTGTTCTCAACACTGAGCTGTGTAACTCTTTGTTGCTGGAATTGTTCAAGTTTTTAAAATTTTTGTATTCGGCATACATTACTACTTTATTTTGCCACTTCCCATGTTCATGTTTTACTGTGTGTAGTGTCATTTTAAAAAGGCTGAAGGGCCCATAATGCCTTCCTAACCTATGTTTGTTTGCCTATAACATGCAAAAGTGTAGTCCCTTTAAAACCCCACTTTCGGCCCTGGCCCGTGTGGCTCAGTTGGTTGGGATTCATCCTGTGCCCTGAAAAGTTGATGATTCAATTCCTGATTCAGATGCCGGGTTGCAGGCTCGATTCCCAGTAGGGGGCCTGCAGGAGGCAATGATCCATGTTCCTGTTTCTCTGTCTCACTAAAACAAAAGAGAAAAAAGTCTTAAAAAAAAAAAAAACAACCCAGCCCTGGCCAGATAGGGTCAGCGGTTGGAGTGTCGGCCCACGGACCAGAGGGACCTGGATTTGGTTCCCACCAAGGGCACGTACCTCGGTTGCAGTTTGTCCCTGGCCCCAGTTGGGGTTGTGTGGGTGGCAACCAGTCAATGTGTCTCTCTCACATCGATGTTTCTCTCTCTCTCTTCTTCCCTTTCTCCCTCCTGCTCTATCTGAAGATAAATACAAAAATGTCCTCCGGTGAGGATTAAAAAACAACAACAAACAACAAATACTTTTCTGCAAACATGAGGGATTAATAGGGTGCCTGAGGTCCACTGTCAGACGGGTGACAACACGACTTCATCACAGAATCTCGGGGACAGTTTCACGGACCCGAATCAGTACTTTGATTTATGGCTATTCCCTTATCCCAACTTACCTCTCTCTCTCTTTTTTCTTTTAATTTCTTCCCAGAAAAGTTCACATTTAACGTTTCTTTTTGTTTTGAATAGGTATATGTGCTCCCTGTCATTGTTCCACTATTCCGAATACTTAGTCACAGCAGTGAACAATCCCAAAAGTCTGTCCTTGGACTCCTTTCTCCTGAATCACAGTCTGGAGTACACCGTAGCTGCTCTTTCTTCTTGGATAGAGTTCACACTTGAAAATATCTTCTGGCCAGGTCAGTGTGCCCTGCACTCCCCTCTGGAGGGGAGGTGGGTGGCTTCCACGTGGGCGTGAGCAGTGATGTGGGTGCACCCCTCAGTCTAATCTCCCCGAGTGATTTCCGCAGCCCTCGAGCCTCGCTAAGCTCTTTATAGAGGACAGGCTGGTGAATCCGCTTCTGGATTGTGAGTCGAGGACATGACCTTTTGTTTTAAGCCCCGTATAGCGTAGTGCACCCTCTGATGTGAAGGTCCTCCCTTTGATAGCTGTAATCCTGACGTTACATTCGGAGGAGAGTTGGATCTGTGACTTGAGAAATTTCATACGAAGATTTTATTAGCAAAAGCCTCTGCACCAGCAACCTACTCTCAAGTTGAACTTTGCACAGCAAATTAAATCAAATGTATGTCGATCCCAGGATTCAGTAAATGGCCAAGGCAGGAGACCCTGGGTCCTTCTCTGTTTCACTTAGCCGTCCTTGTCCCCAAGCAAAGGACAGAAGCGTATGCAGGGGGACATGGACTGAGAGCCCCTCAGCTCCTTGCTCTGGTGCTGTAATTGGGTTGTTGGCGCTTTAAACGGACGAACAACACAACTTAGGGGGATGTGTTTTGCTCACACTTAAATTTTAACATGATGGCAAGTGCTGATCGCCCACCAGCATGTTTCCCGCTGTTCCTGTCTTTGGAAAAATAGATTAATTTTAAGCATCCAAAGGGGGAACTCAACAGTCCCGTGTCTCCACTTCCCACTTGTCACCGTGTGCCCTGCAGAGCTGAAGCAGATCACCTGGCTCAGTGCCACGGGCCTGCTGATGGTGGTCTTCGGAGAGTGTCTGAGGAAAGCGGCCATGTTTACAGCTGGTTCCAACTTCAACCACGTGGTGCAGAACGAAAAATCAGAAACCCACACTCTGGTGACGAGTGGCGTGTATGCCTGGTTCCGGCACCCTTCTTACGTGGGGTGGTTTTACTGGAGTATCGGAACCCAGGTATAGTATCAGATGGGACACTGGTCTCCTTTTAAGTTTTCTTAAAATATTGTTTTATTTGACATATAACTCACCCACCACAAAGTTCGCCAGTTCAAGGTGTACCAGCCATTCAGTGGGTTTCACAGTGTGTTCACAAGGTTGCTGGTCCTCTTTAAATAGGTACCCCTGCTCCTTGTCATGCTTCACGTGATCACTCAATAAAAGTCAAAAGGATCATTTTAGTCCTTAACATTTTTTACCATGTACTTAAAATCTGGGCATCCTTAATTTGTAAGCTTTTGGTAATTCTAGGTGCTGTTACCCCACCTGCCATACCGTTCTCTGCCTCTTTAACTTGGATCTGAAGCACCCCAGAGGGGTGAGGACAGAGACAGAGCTGCCGCCCAAGTGGTACCTTAGCTAATTTTCATTAGAAGCTGCTCTTGATGAGGCCGAGGTCCTGTATTAGGTTTAATGTGACCTACGGAGCTTTGTTCTGTCTCAGGCTGCTAATTGAGCTTTAGTTCTTGACAGTCCTGGGACTTGGCCAGAGAACATGAATAGAACTTAGGAACCTCAGCATCTCTTAGGGAGAACCCAGTCTGGGCCCTCAGACATTCTAGCGCAGTGCATGGTCCGTGGGGACTCTGATGACCCCCAATGGAGCAGTAGGGGCAGGTAGCATTTGTTCTAAAACTTGCATTTCTGAAACGTAAGACTCCTGCATTAACAAGTGCATTCCCTGGGAACAAACCAGTCATAGTTGAATTATGTAATTTGCCTTAAATGCTAGCTGGAGACCTAAGGACCAAAGAGTTTTTCATACTTTTTCGATCATAGATCATTTTACACTGTGACCCAGCACAGGTGTGGAAACGGAGCAACTCTTTCCCGGGACAACACTCGCCCTTACAGTGTGCAAAACACTGTTTTCTACCGCGTTGTCATCTGTAACGTGTTTCTGACGCCCAGACTGCTCGCATGTCTCGGGAACAGGTCACGGCCTGCGATTGGGAAACCCCACTGTAGCACACCGCAAGGCCGCTTGCCTGCAGGCTCTGGGGTCGCTGACCGGGCCAGTCCTGGTTTTAATGCTGACTGGTTGCCCCCCCCCCCCTCCGTCCTCACGAGTTATGTGAGGACACCTCAGGTTAGCTGTGGGCTTGACTGGCTCATTGGTTGTCAAGGGCTGAGCGTGCACTGGGAACGCAGAAGTGCTTGTAGGTAAACAGTGAGGATAAGTTGAGGGCATGTGCCTGGTTCTCTCCGGGAAGGGTCACCCACTTGGGGAAGACACGCGTCCCGGAGGGTCAGTCAGAGTGGGGAGGGGGGCTCAGTGGGTTCCCCAGCAGCACAGGAAGTTCCCCGAGAGCCAGGTGAGCTCTGGCCTGGAAGGACTCTTTGGCGATGGGTCAGTGGGCAAGGCGTTGTCAAAAGTGGGAAAACCACGTGAGTACGGAGGTAAGAGGCAGCCCAAGGGGATCCGGCTGGCGTGGGGCGGGCGCCGGAAGAAGTGGGCTCAGGTGCTGTGCTCCTGCCGAGGTCCAGGGGGGCAGGCAGACCTTGGAGATTAGGGGAGTGGCTGGATGAGGTGCTCAGTCAGGGGGCAGGGTGTCAGGCTCTGGCCCCAGGGTCCAGGGAGCAGGTTCGGCTGCGGAGGGCCAGGCAGGAAGGTGCGGGCTGAGCACCGCAGAGAGCTCTGTGCACTGAATGAATGGGGGTTCACTGGTGGAGGCCGGAGGAAGAGTTGCTCTCACCCCGCCCCAGGGTTGAAACCCAAGAGGTTGCTCTTTCCTCTCCGTGGTTAGCTGGCCTTCGGGTAGGAAGGACAACACAGAAAGTGTGCGAATGTACATGAAAGAAAGCCCGTGCTGAGTGTTGAGGTCTAGTGGACGTCCTGGTGTGGTGTCCCCTAAGGGCACCCTGCCCATGACGCTGAGACCCTAATCATGTGTTGTATTTTGAGTCTCCCGGGCCCGGCAGGAAATCCTCTGTGGGTCTGAGAGAAGCAGATGCCACGGACTCCCCAGTGCCGCCCTCTGACCTGGTCCACCTCGTGTTCCCTGTCAGGTGATGCTGTGCAACCCCGTCTGTGGTGTTGGCTACGCCCTGACCGTGTGGCGATTCTTCCGCGACCGGACAGAAGAGGAGGAGGTCTCCCTGATCCACTTTTTCGGAGAGGAGTACCTGGAGTATAAGAAGCGGGTGCCCACAGGCCTGCCTTTTATAAAAGGGGTCAAGGTGGAGCTATGACCCCCGGGGGCCGCGGAGCCGCGGGGTCACCCGCTCCGCGCTGCCCGGGACAGAACGGCCTCTGGTCGGTCACCGCAGAACGGATTTTCTTAATCGTTTTATATGTCATCGTGCTCTTCGGGACTGTCACTCAAGACCAGATGGTCGGAAGGCCACAGGACCAAAGGACCCCACCCCCACCTTCCCGGTGCAGTCTGTTCCGGGCGGAACCAGGATCGGACGCGGATTACAGATGGGCAAGGAGCAGACACCAGCACCGTCAGTGCGCTCAGCTCGGGGCGCCAGGCCGCCGTCCTGCCAGCCTCCGCGTCCCCTCCCTGGACGAGGGCGTGGACTCGTCCCTCCCAGTGAGGCTGTTCCGCAGGCCGCCGGGCCCGCGGGCACCAGCGCCTCCCGGCGGTGGAAGTACATCGGAAACCCTTCCTTTAAGAAACCTGCGCGCTGCCGGCTTCCACCTCCTGTGCCCTCAGTGCTGAGCCCCCGCTGGTTTCACAGACACGCCCCTTGGGCTCTCCCTGTACGGAACCGCATTTACACGTCTGCATTTTCCGGGACGCGGTGTAAATTCGAAGGGGGCTCCTTGTTCATAGCCCCAACTTGTATTTGGCAGAAAGGAAGCATCGACACCCAGACGACTGGGCGGAGCGGCTTTGTGCTACCAGGGACCCCAGTGGCTTCCCGGGGCTCCTGCCCTTCTCCCCAGTGGGGGCTGTTTTCAGTGACAGGCAGGCCAGAGGGTGTCATCTTTCCTTTCTGGGAGAAATGCTCACTGAATGCCTGCTCTGTGCGAGGCGTTGTGAAACACAGAGACCCCGCTCTCCACTGACTTGGGGTTTCGTTCTTATTCTACCAGAGCGTACAGTTTTGTGTTTCGATTTAAATCTATTAACTATTGAGTCCTGTGTTCCGTTCCCGAAATGTCATCATCCCTAAGGCCATCTCAAACTGTCTTCCAAGGGTTCGAGAGCATGCACAAGTACAGAATTCAAGGCGACACAAGTCTTCAATCAAGCAAATAATCCCAGCTGAGATTTAGTCGTATTTTTGTGTTTCAAGTTCAGGGAGAGTGTATGGCTTGATGAGTCAAACGTGTAAACTGTAGAGACGCTTGTTTAATCCCGGACCAGACAGGGCCGTGGTCCCAGTGCGGGGTCCTTCTGCGCGGCCCTGCGGTGGCGCTGGGGCACAGACTGAAGGCGGCGAGCCCGGCGGAGCGCAGCCTGCCCCACCCACGCCAGCCACGCGGCTTCCGAGGAGCCACCTACCTTTCCGTGCCTAGACCTCCCCATCTGTAGAATGGGGTCAGTACCACCTACCTCACAGGGGTGTTGTGAAGACTTAGAAGGACGACGTCAAACGTTTTTAATACTTAGATGAGAGAGGACATTAACGGGATCCATACTGTGTGAGAGGAACACAAAAACGGACTGGTTCACTGTCCCAGACGCCGGAGATGTGTGTTCACAAGAGCATTTTACCAACTCAAAATAGTATTAATTTCTAGCTTTCATGGCCTAATCAATCTTTTTGTTGTTATATATACCAAAGAGGTGTGCGGGATCGTTGATCGCTGGTGTGAGCACCAGGGAGACCCCAGCGGCGGCCCTCAGGAGGGCCACGCAGTCCGCCTGGCCAGGGCCAGGGCGGGAGCCCTCCCGGGAGGGGTGTCAGCACGCCCTGACTGCGAATCCAGGTTGGACTGGCTCTAAACGTGTTCCCCAGACCACACTTAGCAAAGTCAGCTCCACTTAGTAGGACTGCAGAATAGAGGGGGGCCGGCTGCCACCCCAGCTCTTGGAGGGAAACTGCTGCATTGAGCAGGCTCGGGCCCAGCTTTAAGGACACTTCCCGGGGTCACGAATTGGCCTTTTTAATAGCTGGAGAGCAGCGCATGAGGGCCCTGTGAGTGGGAAGTGTGAGGTGCTGGGTGGGATGCTGTCTCCCTCCATCTGCCAGCCGGCCAGGAGCTTGGGAGGCAGGCTTTGTGTTTGGGCTGGACGGTCTGCTCGGCTCCCCAGAGCAGGGGTGGGGGGCGGTGAGCGCGTTCACACCGCGTTCGTAATCCCAGAAGTCCGCAGCTGCTTAGGGATGAGAGATGAACTATTGAGGGACAGGGTTTGGCGAGTGATTGACTTTCATCTCGTATGAGATCTTCAGATTGTTCTTAACCATATGAATTTAGCCGTGATGCATCCAGGCCAGAGAATCCGGTTAACAGGACCGGCTTCCTGGGTGTTCCCCAAGGCTTTCTGGGTAGAGGCCACGTCTCCAGTTCCCTCCAGTTAGAGACTGTCAGGAGGTTTCTCTTCCCAGGACAGGCTTTAAAGTGCAGGCTCTTAAAGGGAACGCAGGCGCAGCACAGAACAAAGCTGGTCCGAAGCCACGCCAGGGGCACACGCGCAGGGATTCGCAGGAGGGGCGAGCCCGGCAGACGGCGAAAGGCAGCGAGCCCCGTAGCCCGCCTTGGTGTGAGCTGCTTCTGGGGCCGAAAAGTAACCTTGATCAGTCCCTCCCGCCCACGCAGCGCTCTGGGTGATAACGTGACAGGAACCAGTCCTCAGCGAGCGCGTCGTATTACTAGACGAGGCTCGGTGAGGTCTCGGCCACAGCTCATTTTGGTAGCAGTCCCTCGTCACAGGTACAGTAACCCTGTCCCTTCTCTGCACTTTCTTACTGCCTTAGATAGCTGCCATCTCCCACCGATCTTGCTTCTGTAGTGACTTGGCAAGGGTAGGCGACCTGGGCATTACCCGAGTGGTGGGCACGCGCTCTGCCCTGCTGTGAGTGCTGGTACCTTGTCCTGGCCCGGGAGGCCGGCCGCAGAGGCGCCTGCTGTCGGGAAGCCGCCCGTGGCTAGGAGAGTAACTTCATGGAGTAATTATTCTACTCTTCTTTTTACATGCAGAAATGTTTATTTAAGTACTTTAAACTGGATTTTCTTTCCCAGATACTGATATTCTTTCCAAATCTGAAATAAAACTATACTTGATTTCACTCTGAACCACAGTGTGATTGTGTGGGCAGTGGAAACTCGCAGGTCATGTCGCCCGCGGCTGAGCTGGGAGGCCCTGCAGCCTGAGCGCGGAATTCCCACCTGAGCCCTGCCCTGCGGGCTCCCACGCGCGAGGACGGCAGTGCCCCGAGACGAAACGGCAGCTCCGGGGGTGTGGGTGTCCACATGTGACGTTAACGGATTGACATGTGAGCCAGCCCAGCGCAGAGAAGCCATTTGCTGCTCGAACCACTGAATCAAGGTGGATATTTGCGTAAAATGTGACTCCCCGGCATCATTTTAAATGTGAGGTCACGTAGGTTAATTTTCCTTTTTAAAAAGCATAACATGCCCTGGCCAGTTTGGCTCAGCGCTTAGAGCGTTGGTCCGCAAACCAGAGAGGCCCGGGTTTGGTTCTTGCTAAGGGCACGTACCTCGATGACAATTTGTCCCCGCCCTGGTTGGGGGCGTGTGGATGGCAACCAGTAGATGTGTCTCTCTCACATCAATGTTTCTCTCTGTGTCTTCCGCTGTATCTGAAGATGAATGCAAAAATGTCCTCAGGTGAGGATTAAAAAAAAAAAGCATAACATTGCACTTGGAGAAAGGGCTCTGTGTAGCTGGGAAGCTGCTGGAGAAAAGTCGCTGCGGTATCTGCTTTGAGAACCAACAGAAGGTAAGCACAGGGCCAGGCTGGCAGCCCGGAAAGGGGGCGGAGGGTTGTGATGGGGACATCCTGCGGGGCACGGTGCTGCTGGGAGCCCAGCCCTTGCCAGGAGGGAGACACGCCGGGGCATGGGTTTTCTCCCTTTGCTGCGCAGTGCTCAGGTTACTGGGTGGAACCCTCCAGTGGCGCCCGTCAACAGTGGGGCTGCGACTCAGGAGAGACTGGATTCCTTCGAGGACGGAGACTTATTACCTAGGTTCAGAGCACGTCCGCACAGGCCCGCAGGTACCCCTGGCACGGGGCCGTGCACAGGCACCGGGGAGAAGCTGGACCAGTGAGGGGCTTGAGGCTGGGTGCTCCCCTGTTTAACATCCCCGTGGACTGGGACGCGTCCCCTGGCGTCCTGATGAGAAGCAAGACTTAGTGCTGTGTAAACAGGAAAAGCGAAGTGTGGCCCAGGCCAGAGAATCCGGCACCAGGAACGGTGGGAGTTTCTTGGTTCTACTGCTGAGAAGCAACCACCTCCGACCCTTTACAAATATCGGGATGGGAAGGACCTTTTTGTAGGCCCCCGGGCTTGCGGTGACAGGCCCAGTGGCTAAGTGGGGTGCTCCCTCCGTGGGGAGACGTCACCCCCGTTTTTCAGTTTGGGTCTGTGAGGATCTCAGTGGAGGCTCTTCCGTGAGGCTGCTCAGGGTCCGGCTGTTTCCTCTCGGCTCTGAGGTCTTCTCTCTCTTGTCCGTGACCCAGGGTCACTCCTAAAGGAACACCTGAACGTGAGCTGTAGTCTGGGACACTCGCTACCCCGTGTCCCTGTGCCCAGCACTGAAACCCACTCGGGCCCAGGCCTTTGGAACAGGAGGCCTTTCCGGAAGGCACCGGGCGACCACGCCATCAGAGCCAGAACCAGAGGGCCTCCTAAAGGACTATGTCACTTCTGATGACTGTTGTCCAAATATCAGTTCCGGCATCTCAGCAGGAGCATAGAGCTGACACTGCCCTGGAGCCCCAGAGCTAAGCCTGGTGTCTGGCGGGGCCGGGGAGGGGGCATGCCTTGTCACCAAGCACAGCAGCAGACCTCTGGGTCTAACCGCTCTATTGGTTTTTTTGGGTTTTTTTTGGTATGTGCCCCACCAGGAACCGAACCCGGGACTCTCTGGTCCGCAGGCTGACGCTCCAACCACTGAGCCAAACCAGCCAGGGCTACAGCTCTGATCTGCAGCCCCACTCTCTGCCCCTGCCCAGCACATTTCACCGGGAGCCCCGCTGTGCCGGTGTTGTCCCTCTGGCAGTATTTGCAAACCCTGGCTCAGTGCTCTCGGCAGAGGTGCTCACTGGGGTGAATTTGAGCTGCCTGCAGTGAGTGCTGGCAGCTCTCGGTGGGGTCGGGGTGCAGGCAGCCACCACGCATGGACGGTGAGAAAATGTGGGCCACGTCTATCAAAGTCACATCTGTCATCTAGGAGTCACTGGAGTCACCGTCCAGACTACAAACCTCTCCGACTCGTGCTTTACCCGCTAAGGCCATAGAGGGAGGGGACCGAGGGGGGAGGAAAACCCAGGGTCTGTCTTCGTCTCTGGGATGAGCCGTCTGCCCGCCCAGGGTGGAAGCACCTTTACCTGGCCTGGGCCTCGTCGTCCGTGCTGCCCTCACACGTGTCCCGTGGCTGCTCTGACTCTTCGTCCACGGGTGCCTGGAACCTGTGTGGAGGATGCAGACCGGGAACCTGAAGGCACAGAGCCAGCTCTTTGCACAAAAACCAAACTCGAGTGACCACTCCAAGCCTGGGGCTTTGGTCCTCAAGTATCTCTGCGGGCAGGGCTGTGGGAGCGGGTGGCCCTGCTCATGGGGCCCCGTTCCGGTCAGGGAGATGCCAGGTGGGGGAAGGGGCAGCTGGAGGGGAGGGGCAGTGGACATAGGCCGGCTTCAAATCGCGGGCTTGACAGTCTCTGTGGACACTCAAGCCGACCCGACGGCGAGCATCCGTGACTCTGTCCGCAGCCAGAAGACTCCAGGCAGGGGCGGGAGGCGCAAGCCGGTCTAGGTCTTTGGGGAACTGAAAGGTCATGTGGCTGGCGTGTGGGGAGGGGCCGATGCGGGCAGAGGTGGACTGTCAGGCCCGGTGTGATGGGAACTACAGGCTTTGTTTATTTATTTTTAAATACATTTTTATTGATTTTTTGGAGAGAGAGATAGAAAGGTTGATGAGAGAGAAACATCTATTGGCTGTCTCCTGCACGCCCTCTGCTGGGGATCGAGCCCATGCCCCGGGCATGTGCCCCGACCAGCAATCAAACCAGTGACCTCTTGGTGCAGGGTTGACACTCAGCCACTGAGCCGCGCCGGCCGGGCGGGAAGCATAGGCTTTAGAAAGATCACTCGTGCCCGGGCTGGTCTGGCTCAGCAGTTAGAGCCTCAGCCTGGGGACCAAAGAGTCTCAGGTTTGATTCCGGACAAGGGCACGTACCTTGGTTGTGGTTCAGTCCCTGGCCCTGGTCGGGGTTGTGCGGGAGGCAACCAGTCGATGTGTCTCTCTCATCGATGTTTCTCTCTCTCTCCCCCTCCCACTCTATCTGACAATAAATAGAAAAATATCCTCGGGTGAGAATTACAAAAACGGCGCTGGCTGTGTGACAGCTTCCCTCCTCACCCCAAACCTTTAGGAGCTTGGCTGCAGCCTGAGTTCCCTCCCCTTTGCTGTCCTGCCCTGAGACACTACCTCCTGGCAGCCGCTCTGCCCACGAGTGGCCCTCTGCTGGCAGGCAGGAGCGGCTCCCGAGAACCAGTGTGCACGGACGCAGCGCACCAGAAGGGAAAGTGTGCGAACGCCACAGTGTGGCTTGGCGCACACTCACAGTGTGAACAAGCTGGGTAGACAGCACCCAGAACATCACCTCCACCCAGATACCCCCGCTTCCCGCCCCAGAAGAGTCGCCATCTCAACTGTCCACGGTAGAGGCTGGTTCTGCCTGGTTCTGAGGTTTTATCGATGGAATCACACAGTATCTGGAATAAACTAACTACTTTGAATGTCAGCTTAGGAGGAAACACTGCAGCTCGTCCTGGGTGGGCAGGGATTCGATCACAATGGTACAAAAGGTACGATGAGTTTAACCTCAAATCGTCACCAGGTGACTTGGTGGTTCTGGACTAGCACGGAGATTGCACACGTACACTCTGATTTTCCTTCCTCTCCAAACTCACTACAACTCTCATAAAGGGACCAAAACAACAAGAGGGAGAAAGAGAAAGTGTCCAGGTTGAGAGCAGGAACGGGTACCACCACGGCTTTGGAAGCTGGAGAGCATGCAGACCGTGGGAACTAACTGAGTGGACTTGAGACACCTGCATTCAGAGTGCACAGCAGGCCACGCTGAGGCCCCACCTTTCACACTACAGACTGCTCAGGGGGCCCCAGAATGGGCAGCAACAGGGTGGACGGTGATGGCCAAGATCCCCACACCAAGCAGCCGCCCACAGGCGTCTGAAGGATTAGTCTCTGAGAAGGTACAGCCCTCAGATGGGAACGACAGAGACCAGGGTGAACACAGGAGCTCCAGACAGTGACCTTCCAGGAAGGAACTGGGAAGAGACCTAAAACTGACCTTGGTGCCTTCAAGAAAACAAAGCAACACAAAACCCTGGCCACCCGGAGCCCCAGAGTGAAGCACCACCCGTGTGCTCAGAGCTTCTGGTCTGCCCCCCATCCTGACATGAGCAGACCCTCAAAGATGTCCTGACCTCTGAGAAAAGACTTTAACATGGAAGAGAGAAACCCAAACAAACAACAGGTAACTTGGAGGAAACTTAACAAACAACAAAACAAAAAGTAAACCCATACCTATCGGCCTCAGAGAGGTAAGAGACCGTGTCTATGAAACAACAGAATGCTGTGTAAAATGAACAGTCAGGCCCTGGCTGGTTTGGCTCAGCGTTAGAGCGTCAGCCTGTGAACCAGAGGGTCCCGGGTTCAGTTCCCACTAAGGGCACGTACCTCGGTTGCAGTTTGTACCCGGCCCCGGTTGGGGTTGTGTGGGTGACAGCCACTTAATATGTCTCTCTCTCACATCGATGTTTCTCTCCCTCCTGCTCTATCTGAAGATAAATGCAAAAATGTCCTCCAGTGAGGATAAAAAAAAAAAAGAATAGTCAGGTAAGAGCTCTAGGAATTTTTTTTTTTTTCAGAAATGAAGAACTAAATGACCAGTTGGAAGATAAGTGAGGAAATCTCCAGAAAGTACAGCAAAAAGAAATGGAAAATGGTACCAAAAAGGGAAGGTAGATCAGAGGGCTGATATCCGAGAGTGAGAATTCCAGAAAGAAAACGTGGAGAAATCAATTAACAAGTCCAAAAGGAAATACGCCCAAACTGAAGGACATGAATTTCCAGGTTGAAAGAACTCATCAGTACTCAACCTAGT